AAAATTTTGCTAGATTTTTGTTTACCATTAATGACAATTCTAAAAAACACATTTTTGTTCTCTCATTTTCTACATAAATTACTATAAATATAAAACATTTAAATACAATTTGGAAATTTTAAATAAATACATGAAATACATGAATAATATGATTTGTGTTTTTTTAATATTTGTTTATTTTAATTGTTAATTTTGGATTTCTTAATATTTTTTTTTTCTCTATACAACAACTTCAAAATCAGTCAGTTTTATGTTAAAAAAAAACTTTATATATTAAACAAATTATATAAATGTTAAGCAGAAAACAAAACAAAATTTACCCATAAATTAATAAATAAAGTATATATAAATGTATTTTAAAAATAACACTTAAAAATAAAATAAAAATAATAATAAAAAAAGAAAAAAAAATAATAATAATGGTAACAATTATTGTTTTGTTTCATATTAAACTAAAAGAAAAAACTAAAATATAAAATTTTTACAATAGAGCTTAAAAATAAAACAAAAGTACATTAAAAAAATAAACAAAATAAAATCTTAGAAAATGACAATCGTTTGTTTTTAAGTAACTTATCATTAGACTATTTTGTTTAGTTTAAAATTACTACTAATGCTATGTTTGTGGTATTTTTTTTATTTTGTTAATTTTATAAATTAATACATAAATAATTATTATATTTAAATTATTTCCTTTTACTGTTGTTGTTGTTGGTTTTTGGACAAGGTTAATCTAATTTTTCAGTTTTTTTTTTCGCTAAGTTTTTTTATATATGATTTTTTTTTGTATGTGTTTAAATTTATATTTGGTAGAGCTTAAATATTAAGAGTTTCTAAAAACTAATTTAATTTAGTTTAAATTTAATTTAAAATAATTAAAATATTTTTGTTTGTTTTATTTTTTTGTTGTTTATAATTAGTATTATTAAATTAATTAATTTTATTTCTTTTTGGCCGCTTTTTTCTCCGCCTTGCGTATGGCCTTTTCACGTTCTCGTCGCTCACGTTCCTGATCTTTGCGTTCCTTTTCAATGCTGGCCTTGAGATCTTTAAGTCGTCGTTTTTAAACGATGCTTATCGTCGCCGGTAACGCCCAACGTTTTTAAATCTTTCGAATCTAAAGATAACAAAGCGCCACCTTCGACATTGTGCTCTTTGAAAACGGGTATATAACGTTCCATTTCAATGCCCAAAAGCCAATGGCCAACCTAGTAGGAAAAAGAAGCATGGAAAATTTAAATATGACATAATATTAACTGCTAGATAAAATCTAGTTTAGGTCCAGTTCAGTTGTAGTTCAATTCTAGTTCAGTTCTAGTTTTCTAGTTCTAGTTCAGTTCTAGTTCAGTTCTAGTTCAGTTCTAGTTCAGTTCTAGTTCAGTTCTAGTTCAGTTCTAGTTCAGTTCTAGTTCAGTTCTAGTTCAGTTCTAGTTCAGTTCTAGTTCAGTTCTAGTTCAGTTCTAGTTCAGTTCTAGTTCAGTTCTAGTTCAGTTCTAGTTCAGTTCTAGTTCAGTTCTAGTTCAGTTCTAGTTCAGTTCTAGTTCAGTTCTAGTTCAGTTCTAGTTCAGTTCTAGTTCAGTTCTAGTTCAGTTCTAGTTCAGTTCTAGTTCAGTTCTAGTTCAGTTCTAGTTCAGTTCTAGTTCAGTTCTAGTTCAGTTCTTTCAGTTCTAGTTCAGTTCTAGTTCAGTTCTAGTTCAGTTCTAGTTCAGTTCTAGTTCAGTTCTAGTTCAGTTCTAGTTCAGTTCTAGTTCAGTTCTAGTTCAGTTCTAGTTCAGTTCTAGTTCAGTTCTAGTTCAGTTCTAGTTCAGTTCTAGTTCAGTTCTAGTTCAGTTCTAGTTCAGTTCTAGTTCAGTTCTAGTTCAGTTCTAGTTCAGTTCTAGTTCAGTTCTAGTTCAGTTCTAGTTCAGTTCTAGTTCAGTTCTAGTTCAGTTCTAGTTCAGTTCTAGTTCAGTTCTAGTTCAGTTCTAGTTCAGTTCTAGTTCAGTTCTAGTTCAGTTCTAGTTCAGTTCTAGTTCAGTTCTAGTTCAGTTCTAGTTCAGTTCTAGTTCAGTTCTAGTTCAGTTCTAGTTCAGTTCTAGTTCAGTTCTAGTTCAGTTCTAGTTCAGTTCTAGTTCAGTTCTAGTTCAGTTCTAGTTCAGTTCTAGTTCAGTTCTAGTTCAGTTCTAGTTCAGTTCTAGTTCAGTTCTAGTTCAGTTCTAGTTCAGTTCTAGTTCAGTTCTAGTTCAGTTCTAGTTCAGTTCTAGTTCTAGTTCAGTTCTAGTTCAGTTCTAGTTCAGTTCTAGTTCAGTTCTAGTTCAGTTCTAGTTCAGTTCTAGTTCAGTTCTAGTTCAGTTCTAGTTCAGTTCTAGTTCAGTTCTAGTTCAGTTCTAGTTCAGTTCTAGTTCAGTTCTAGTTCAGTTCTAGTTCAGTTCTAGTTCAGTTCTAGTTCAGTTCTAGTTCAGTTCTAGTTCAGTCTAGTTCAGTTCTAGTTCAGCTCTAGTTCAGTTCTAGTTCAGTTCTAGTTCAGTTCTAGTTCAGTTCTAGTTCAGTTCTAGTTCAGTTCTAGTTCAGTTCTAGTTCAGTTCTAGTTCAGTTCTAGTTCAGTTCTAGTTCAGTTCTAGTTCAGTTCTAGTTCAGTTCTAGTTCAGTTCTAGTTCAGTTCTAGTTCAGTTTAGTTCAGTTCTAGTTCAGTTCTAGTTCAGTTCTAGTTCAGTTCTAGTTCAGTTCTAGTTCAGTTCTAGTTCAGCTCTAGTTCAGTTCTAGTTCAGTTCTAGTTCAGTTCTAGTTCAGTTCTAGTTCAGTTTTAGTTCAGTTCTAATTCTGTTCAGTTCTGTTCAGTTCTAGTTCTGTCAGTTCTAGTTCTAGTTCTAGTTCTGTTCAGTTCAGTTTCAGTTCAGTTCAAGTTCTAGTTCTGTTCAGTTCTAGTTCAGTGCCAGTTTAGTTATAGTTCATTTTTAATTCTTTTTATAGACAATTTTCGAAAATTTCTCTATTTAGTAGAAAATGTTTCTACTCACCTGCTCTTTGGTCCATTCATGTACCGGTCCCTCCTTTATAATTATAAGCCGCTGCCTTACGTTCCGAGAAACTCGAACTTGAACCTGACAAATCTAAACCCTGCTGGGAGACTAACCGGGTGAAGAGCAACCCGAAGACATACTCGTTGGTGAGGGAGGACCATTGCTATGAGACCGAAGTTTGCTGTTGCCATGGTACTGTACCAGGCGGAGATAAAGATGAGGAATAACTGTTTAACTTCATTTACACAAAACAATTACGCAATAATCAAGTTAAAGCATTATAAAAATGTTATCAATCCAACAATAAATTTTGTTAGTTAAGAGTTACCAGAATATCATTTATTATTATTATTATTGTTTTCGGTTTCAAATTTTCAAATTTTGTTTTAAAGGCAAGCATGTTAAAGAAAAATATACAACAAAGAAGAGAAAATAAGAAAAGAAAAAGACCGTAAAATAGAGAAAGACAGGAAGAAAGATATTTATATAAATTGTTACACATCACTCACACCTTTGTATTTTTGTATGTTTTGATATAAAAATATGGCTAAATAATACTAATAATATACAATGTATATTGATAATTAATAAGGGTTATAATAAGTTATGTATATTTGATTATGTATATAATAAATATATTTTAAAATAACAACATTAATTAAAATAAAATATTAACAAAAATTTAACAAACAGAAAAAAAACACAACTTATTTTGTTCGGTTAAATATAAAGTAATGTTTTTTTCTTCAAACACTTTTCTTGGCAGGCATTATTATTTATTACAAATTACAACAACACCAATAAAATTTTGTTTATGTTTTTTGTTTTAATTTTAGTAACAAATCAAAATAATTATCATAATTATAAGAAAATAAAATGTTTTTTTTTAGAATTTTGTTAGTTTTTTAGGTGATTGTTTTGGGGAATTTTCAATAATTTTTTATAAACTACTAGTGGGATTTAGTTCTTAGGTTGTTGTGATTTTTTTGGGAATTTATATTTTTTTAATTTAAGTGATTTTTGTTTTATTTAAATTATTTAATTAATGTGATGTGTCACCTTTTGGTTGAGCCTCATTTACTGCTTGTCGTATTTCATTTATTAAAGTTTTACAGTTAATAGCTGCCACTGATTGTGATTTATTTATTTCGGTATAATCATCGCTGGAATGTCGTGATGAGCCATCACCCAGACGTCTGTAATGAAGAAAGATGAATATGAAATGAAATTATTTAAAAAAGAAATTTAAATTAATAACAATTTGAAACTTCATTTTTATTGGAAAGTTTTTTTTTTTAGATCTCTTTTATATAAAAAATCGGAAATTTTCGTAAAATTTCTGTTTTTATAGAAAAAATTTGGAAGATTTTTATAAAATTTTTATAAAAAATTTTCGGAAATTTTTCGGAAAATGTCTTTTTTTATAGAAAATTTTCGGAAAATTTCGGTTTTAATAGAAAAAATTCAGTTTTTATAGAAAATTTTCGGTTTTTATAGAAAATTTTCGGAAAATTTCGGTTTTTATAGAAAATTTTCGGTTTTTATAGAAAATTTTCGGTTTTTATAGAAAATTTTCGGAAAATTTCGGTTTTTATAGAAAATTTTCGGAAAATTTCGGTTTTTATAGAAAATTTTCGGTTTTTATAGAAAATTTTCGGAAATTATCGGTTTTTATAGAAAATTTCGGAGAATTTCGGAAATTTTCGGTTTTTATAGAAATTTTCGGAGAATTTTCGGTTTTTATAGAAAATTTTCGGAGAATTTCGGTTTTTATAGAAAATTTTCGGAAAATTTCGGTTTTTATAGAAAATTTTCGGAAAATTTCGGTTTTTATAGAAAATTTCGGTTTTATAGAAAATTTTCGGAAATTTTCGGTTTTTATAGAAAATTTTCGGAAAATTTCGGTTTTTATAGAAAATTTTCGGAAATTTTCTCTTTTTATAGAAAAAATTTCTCTTTTTATAGAAAATCTCAGCAAAATTTCACTTTATATACAAAATTTTTGTTTTTATAGATAATTTTCGGAAAATTTCTGTTTTTATAGATAATTTTTGGAAAGTTTCTATCTTTATAGATAATTTTCGGAAAATTTCTGTTTTTATAGAAAATTTTCGGAAAATTTCTTTTTTATAGAAAATTTTCGGAAAATTTTCTTTTTTATAGAAAATTTTCGGAAAATTTCTTTTTTATAGAAAATTTTCGGAAAATTTCTTTTTTATAGAAAATTTTCGGAAAATTTTTCTTTTTATAGAAAATTTTCGAAAAAATTTCTCTTTTTATAGAAAATTTTCGAAAATATTTCTCTTTTTATAGAAAATTTTCGGAAAAATTTCTCTTTTTATAGAAAATTTTCGGAAAAATTTCTCTTTTTATAGAAAATTTTCGAAAATATTTCTCTTTTTATAGAAAATTTGCGGAAAATGTCTCTTTTTATAGAAAATTTTCTATTTTTATTGAAAATTTTCGGGAAATTTCTCTTTTTATTGAAAATTTTCGGAAATTTATTCTTTTCTATAAATAATTTTCAAAAAATTGTTCTTTTTGTAGATTTTTTTTTGGAAAAATTTAAAAAAATTATAAAAGGAAATTCAAATTAAATTTTCTTACCTTTCTCTCTCCGTTAATGCTTGATTTAATTGTTCCGTAAATGATGTCGGTGGCAATTTGCCACTTATTATTGCTCCCGTTGGACCGACACGTCGTCGACTCGGATACATCCAATTCTCCGATGATTGTTCGTTTTCCGATAGTTTATCGTTCGATCCTAGAATGGAATCATATGAACTATTGAGATCACGGCTGCTAGTACCGAATGTGGTCATGCCACCACGATGAAAATCATTAGGACTAGAAGACGTTTCAATACCGCCGGGTGAGCCCAGAGTATTTTTAAATAATGCCGGCAAACCGGTATGTGAAGCAGATGATGCGGAACTCTTATGATCCTTATGAACTTGAGCATACAATTGATTAATTTGCTGTTCTCTAGTATTGACAGATGATGATGTTGCTGATGATGAGGATGATGTGGAATTAAGTAAAATGGCGGTTGTTGTACCGGCAATAATACCAGCATTACTTGTGCTACTAGTATTATTACTAATACCACCGACGACTACTCCTACTCCAACACTACTAATGCCGCCACCGTTACTACTATTATTACAAATGTTATTGCTATTACTGTTATTGTTACTGTTACTATTATTTAAAATATTGTTACTATTGTTGTGATGGCCGTTACTAATGATATTGTTGTGTTGTTGTTGTAGATGTTGGTGTTGTTGTTGTTGCTGTTGTTGGAGTTGATGCAAACCATTTAAAATATTAAGTTCATGTGTTGACGTGGAATTGTGATGATTATGATGAATATTATTAAGCATTAAGCCAGCAGTAGCTGGAGCAGCAGCAGTCTCATCCTCACTATCATCGAGAGCACAATCAGAGCTACTGTTGCTAAGAGTGCGTTTAGATAAATTGTTAGTGCTGTTGGCAGCTGCTATGGTGACCGCTGTAGTGGCATTCGAGGCACTCGAACTAGTATTGGAATTATTAACCGATGGCAATTGACGATTTGCTAGACCACCACGGGAAGCTAGTTTTAGTTTATTTGTTTTTATGATTTTTTTTTTTTTTTTTGGTTAACGTATTGCAAGTAAGTGTAGGTGGAGTATATTGGTAAAATTTAATTTTCAAGCAGCAACAGCAATTTCGTTTTTTTTTTTTAATTTTTGATTTAATGTTAAAAAAGTAGGCGTGGCAAGTATTTGAAATATTGATGAGATTGTTTTTGATGATGATTGTTTAGAGTTTTCGTTTTTATAGTTTATTTTTATTTGGCATTTATGATTTACAAAAACAATTAACGTAAATTTATTTAAAATTTATGTTTTTTTTGGACAGCAGACAGTATACATGACACAAGTTTTTTATTTAGAAACATTTTCGAACAACATTTACAGAGCACAACAGCAGCGCATAAATATATTTAGTTTTTAAATAGAAATAGTTGTTTTTGAAAAATAAATGAGTTTTTGTTTGTTTTTTTTTTACATAAAAAAAGAAAAATAAAATAAAAAAATTACAATTTCTTAAGTTTTTTGTGGTTACGTTTTTTTTACAAAGAAAATAAAATAGTAATGAACACAGAATATTTAACGTAAAAGAAAAAAAAACTAAGGTTTGGAATTTTTGATAGAAAATTAAGATATTTTTTTAAGGAATTTGTGTAGTTTTTTTTATATAAAAAAGGATTTAGTAAAATTACAAAGCGGTGCTTAATACAAGAAAAGGTGCTTAGGAAATGAACACAGAATAAACTGGTGCAAAATTTTTAAATACAAGGGAAAGTCAAAAGAGAGAGTAAAAAAGTGGTGATTTAAAAAAAATAAATTAAATTTTTAAAAAGAAATTATCTTTTTTTAGGGAAAATTTTCGAAAAAATCTCTTTGTTTATAAAAAATTTTTGGAATATTTCTTTACTATAGAAAGTTTCTCTATTTCTATTGAAAATTTTCAGAAAATTTCACTTTTTTTAAGAAAATGTCTGCTTTTTTAAAAAAACTTTTCGGAAAATACTCTTATCGTAGAAAATTCCACTTTTTATAGAAATTTTTTGGAAAATTTATCTTTTTATTGAAAATTTTTGGAAAATTTATCTTTCTATAGAAAATTTTCCGAAAATTTTTCCTTTTTTTTTTTGGAAAATTTTCTCTTTTTTAAGAAACTTTTCGGAAAATTTCTCTTATCATAGAAAATTTCTCTTCTTATAGAAAATTTTTCATTTTTTGGGAAAATTTTCTCCTTTTTAAGAAACTTTTCGGAAAATTTCTCTTATCATAGAAAATTTCACTTTTTATAGAAAATTTTTGGAAAATTTCTCTTTTATAGAAAATTTATCTTTTTATAGAAAATTTTTCCTTTTTTTTTGAAATTACTCTTGTTTTTAAGAAACTTTTCGAAAATATCTCTTATCATAGAAAATTTCACTTTTTATAAAAAATTTTTGGAAAATTTATCTTTTTGTAGAAAATTTTCCCAAAATTTTTCTTTTTATAGAAAAATTTCCGAAAAAAAAAATTTATAGAAAATTTTCGAAAAATTTCCCTTTTTTATAGAAAATTTTGAAAAAATTTCTCTTTTTATAGAAAATTTTCCGAAATTTCACTTTTTATTAAAAAATTTTCCGAAATTTTCACTTTTTACTGAAACTTTTCGGAAAATTTCACTTTTTATAGAAAATTTTCGAAAAATTTCTCTTTTATAGAAAATTTCTCTTTTTATAGAAAATTTTGTGAAAAGTTTCTCTGTTTACAGAAATTTTCGGAAAAATTTCTCTTTTTATAAAAATTTTGGGAAAATTCCTCTTTATATAGAAAATATTCAGAAAAGTTCTCTTTTTATAGAAAATGTTCAAAATATATTTTTTTTTTCTATTAAAAAAATTTCGAAAAATTTCTCTTTTTATAGAAAATTTTCTCTTTTTACAGAAAATTTTCGGAAAAACTCTCATTTTATACCAAATTTTCGGAAAAATTCACTTTTTATAAAAAATTTTCGAAAAAAAATTATTTTTTTTTTTTACAAAATTTTAGGAAAAATTCTTTTTTTATAAAATGTTGTCGAAAAGTTTCTCTGTTTTATAGAAAATTTTCAGAAAGATTATCTTTTTATAGAAAATTTTAGAAAAAAATTTCTTTTTATAGAAAATTTTCCCAAAAATTTTTCTTTTTTTGAAAATTCACTCAAAAATTTTATTTTTATAGAAAATTTTCAGTAATTTTTTCTTTTAATGGAAAATTTTACAACATTTCCTATTTAGAAAATTTTCGAATAGCAAGATTTTTTATTAATGTTTATAAATCACCACCTATTTCTTTCCTCTCCCCCATTTTTTTTTCAAATAACAATTAAAAAGTTTGTAAATGCAAAGCAAAGGTAGTCGAAAAAGAAACAAGAATTCAAATTCAATATAGGAAAAGGAAACTCAACACAAACACACACTCATAAATCATTTCTTACTTACCCAAATCAATTTTCGTTTTATTAGCCGAATTATCCAGTAATTCATGTTGTGGTACTGCAGCATCCAGCTCATCCTTTACTGGATTCTTACGTTCCACCGTTGCAGTCTTGACACCCTCGCCGTCGGGTGATAAATCCGATATCTCAGTATCTGATAATTCAGTTTCCAATTTCTGGAATAAAGGTTTGGGTGGTGCTTTACGCATCATTTGGGGTGTTAGCTTAAGAGTGGCACTGTCATAGGGTAAACCGACTGGGAAGCCACCCTTACGTTGTGTCTCCTGTAGTTCATGTTCTAAATTAATAACACGATCTTTAAGTTTTTTCACCAAAGCATTATATTCCGTGTCTTTTTCTTGCAGCAACTGCTGATAGAATTCCTCACGATGGCACATGTCTACCTCACGTTGTTGATACTCGCGTACCAAACGTTTGGCTTTATTGTATTTTTTATCGAGGGCCATGTACTGGGCCTGCGATTGTTGTAGCATATTTTGTAGATTAGCAGCCTCTTTTTTAATATTGACCAGTTCACGTTCGCTTTGTCGCAAACGTTCGCTGAGCAGTTCATTTTCATTGCCAGTTGTTTCAAGTTTGACGAGCTGTATGTAGAGAGTATTGTAATATTAGTAATGTATATTAAAAAGGTCAAAGTATAAATTATACTAATTCAAATAAAATTTAAACATGATAAAAAAAAGAAAAGAAAAATAAATTAATAACCCACCTTCCGTTTAAGGGTGTCTATTAAGTCGTCCTTTAAAAGGCAACTCATTTCGCTCTAAAATAAAATATAATTGAAATTAAAATAAACGAAATTAAAATAATAAAACGTGCAAAAATTATAAATATTATACAAATTAAAAGATTTCAATAAAAAAGCATATAGAGTTTTCATATTAAACTTTTTGAAACTTGTGGAAAAAAATATTGAACTTTCGCCGCCTGTTCTTTTTTGGAATTTGTTTTTCTATAAAAAATAAATTTTCCAAAACATTTCTATAAAAATAGAATTTAATTCTGAAAATTTTTTATAAAAGAGAAACTTTCCGAAAAAAATGAATTATAAAACGAGAAACTTTCCGAATATTTTCTATAAAACGAGAAACTTTCCGAATATTTTCTATCAACGAGAAACTTTCCGAACATTTTCTATAAAAAGAGAAATTTTCCGAAAATTTTCTGTAAAAAGAGAAACTTTCCGAAAATTTTCTATAAAAAGAGAAACTTTCCGAAAATTTTCTATAAAAAATAGAAACTTTCCGAAAATTTTCTATAAAAATAGAAACTTTCCGAAAATTTTCTATAAAAAATAGAAACTTTCCGAAAATTTTCTATAAAAAATAGAAACTTTCCGAAAATTTTCTATAAAAAATAGAAACTTTCCGAAAATTTTCTATAAAAATAGAAACTTTCCGAAAATTTTCTATAAAAAATAGAAACTTTCCGAAAATTTTCTATAAAAAATAGAAACTTTCCGAAAATTTTCTATAAAAAATAGAAACTTTCCGAAAATTTTCTATAAAAAATAGAAACTTTCCGAAAATTTTCTATAAAAAATAGAAACTTTCCGAAAATTTTCTATAAAAAATAGAAACTTTCCGAAAATTTTCTATAAAAAATAGAAACTTTCCGAAAATTTTCTATAAAAAATAGAAACTTTCCGAAAATTTTCTATAAAAAATAGAAACTTTCCCAAAATTTTCTATAAAAATAGAAACTTTCCCAAAATTTTCTATAAAAAATAGAAACTTTCCGAAAATTTTCTATAAAAAATAGAAACTTTCCGAAAATTTTCTATAAAAAGTAGAAATTTTCCGAAAATTTTCTATAAAAAGTAGAAATTTTCCGAAAATTTTCTATAAAAAGTAGAAATTTTCCAAAAATTTTCTATAAAAAGTAGAAATTTTCCGAAAATTTTCTATAAAAAGTAGAAATTTTCCGAAAATTTTTTATAAAAAGTAGAAATTTTCCGAAAATTTTCTATAAAAAGTAGAAATTTTCCGAAAATTTTCTATAGAAAGTAAAAATTTTCTATAAAAAGTAGAAATTTTCCGAAAAATTTTCTATAAAAAGTAGAAATTTTCCGAAAATTTTCTATAAAAAGTAGAAATTTTCCGAAAATTTTCTATAAAAGTAGAAATTTTCCGAAAATTTTCTATAAAAAGTAGAAATTTTCCGAAAATTTTCTATAAAAAGTAGAAATTTTCCGAAAATTTTCTATAAAAAGTAGAAATTTTCCGAAAATTTTCTATAAAAAGTAGAAATTTTCCGAAAATTTTCTATAAAAAGTCGAAATTTTCCGAAAATTTTCTATAAAAAGTCGAAATTTTCCGAAAATTTTCTATAAAAATAGAAATTTTCCGAAAATTTTCTATAAAAAATAGAAATTTTCCGAAAAATTTCTATAAAAAATATAAATTTTACGAAATTTTTTACAAAAAGAGAAACGTTCCGAAAATTTTCTATAATAATAGAAAATTTCCGAGAAATTTTCTGAAAAATTTCTATAAAAAGAGAAACTTTCTATAAAAAATGGAAATTTCGAAAAGTTTTCGCTGAATCAAAAAGATAAAAGGTTCCAAACAAATTTTTATTTACTTTTGATCTCTTATATAGGAATACTAACAGAAATTCGAAAAAAAAAATCAAAATTAAACATTTTTCTAATAGGAATCCATGCCAAACTTAAAATGAGAAAGCTTATGATTATTCACTTTCCCTACAAAGCTATAAAATCAAAACTAAAAAAACAACAAGACTTTAAATATAAAACTCATTTACCGCTTTATGCTGTAGGACCAAAAAATGTTAGTTATAAGTCCATTTAAATTTACAAATTATTAAGCAAAAAGAAAGAAAAGTTAAATTTAGCATAAGTTATATGAAGATTCCCTAAACAAAATAACCAAATTACCTCTTGTAGCAGTCTCTTAAGAGACTCTACCTCTTGTGAGTGTGTAGCCTCGACCTCCATGGGATGTTCGACTTGAACGGGACTAGTAGGTCCCTCGCAAACACTAGAATTAGCCGAAACGGGTTGAGTAGAATCTTCAGAGTAGTCTAAAGTACGTCTGAGATACTCCTCTTGTTGTCTTTATTAAAAAAAAGAAAAAAATTAAAAAAAAAACATTCTTTAATTATTAATTAAACTCATATTACCTTTTTAATCTTTCCTCCTTTTCCTTATCCGCCTGTAAACTTAAGCGTATCAATTGAGCCACTTCACTATTTTCCGGATCTCTTTCCCTTCCTATTTGAAATTTGACTAGACCAGATGTGTTACGCAACACTGAGGCTGCATATGCTTGTGTTACACCCACTAAACTTTTACCATCCACTTCGATGATTTGATCATTGACCTGAGCAAATTTTTAAGTTTTAATTGAAGTTTCATTAGTTTTCGCCATTTGTTTGAGAGTAAACATTGAACTTCAAAAATCTTAAAACTTGAAAATTTCAACTCACCTGTATGCGTCCGTCGCGTGCCGCAGCACCGTTATCTGTTATTGTTTTCACGAATATACCCAATTTCTCAAGACCAGCATCGGCTCCAACGCCCATGCCAATAATACTGAGACCTAAACCTTCGGGGCCCTTCATAAGTTCCACCGGGAAAACGTGCATTTTCTCAACACGTTTCTCGAGTTCATATTCCGCAGAAGCGGCCACCGGATCGACATCTTCATTGCGGCGATCATAGTCGTTGACAGAGAATGTAGAAAAGACTTGTATTGGTCCCGAACTGAAGCGTACTTTTGGATTTTTCTTAACCGGTATGGGTGGATAAGAGAGTTCATCGTCGTCGAAGTCTAGGAGACCTATAAGTAGGGAGGGAGTAGTTTAAAAGTTAGTAAGGAATTAAAAGACTAATTTTGGAAAATTTTCAATAAAAAGATTTAAATTTTCGAAAATTTTCAATAGAAAAGAAATTTTCTGAAAATTTTCAATAAAAAAGAGAAATTTTCTGAAAATTTTCTATAAAAAAGAGAAATTTTCTTAACTTTTTCTATAAAAAAGAGCAATTTTCCGAAAATTTTCTATAAAAAAGAGAAATTTTCTGAACATTTTCTATAAAAAAGAGAAATTTTCTATAAAAAGATAAATTTTTCGAAAATTTTCTATAAAAAAAGAAATTTTTCGAAAATTTTCTATAAAAAAAGACATTTTCCGAAAATTTTCTATAAAAAGAAGAATTTTCCGAAAATTTTCTATAAAAAGAAGAATTTTCCGAAAATTTTCTATAAAAAGAAGAATTTTCCGAAAATTTTCTATAAAAAGAAGAATTTTCCGAAAATTTTCTATAAAAAGAAGAATTTTCCGAAAATTTTCTATAAAAAGAAGAATTTTCCGAAAATTTTCTATAAAAAGAAGAATTTTCCGAAAATTTTCTATAAAAAGAAGAATTTTCCGAAAATTTTCTATAAAAAGAAGAATTTTCCGAAAATTTTCTATAAAAAGAAGAATTTTCCGAAAATTTTCTATAAAAAGAAGAATTTTCCGAAAATTTTCTATAAAAAGAAGAATTTTCCGAAAATTTTCTATAAAAAGAAGAATTTTCCGAAAATTTTCTATAAAAAGAAGAATTTTCCGAAAATTTTCTATAAAAAGAAGAATTTTCCGAAAATTTTCTATAAAAAGAAGAATTTTCCGAAAATTTTCTATAAAAAGAAGAATTTTCCGAAAATTTTCTATAAAAGAAGAATTTTCCGAAATTTTCTATAAAAGAAGAATTTTCGAAATTTTCTATAAAAGAAGAATTTTCCGAAAATTTTCTATAAAAAGAAAAGTTTTCTGAACTGTTTCTATAACAAAGAGAAATTTCAGAAAATTTTCTATAACAGATTTTTTTTAATAAAATGTACTTTTCCAACTTACCGGGTACTTCCATCCAAAAATTGCCATCTTCAAAGTAATGTACCCCCGATTCGACATAGACTTCTTTACTACGCACCGGTGGGTATTCGGGTATATAGAACTGTGAATCATCTAATTCAGTTGTAGTATTCAATGATGAATGCTGCTCGTTATCGGCCAATGAATAAGTGGAATTGTGTTTACTCGATATAATACTATCATCAATTGTTGTCGTCTGATTAAATGTGGCATCCGATTGGGTTGATTCAACCGAAACGATTGATTCATGTAATGATTCAGCTGTTGCTGTACCAGTTGTTGTGCTATTCGATGCAGCAGTTGTATTATTGTGTAATGTTGAATTAACAGTGGAATCTTGTATGAATGTACGATTCAAAAATGAAGTTGGCGAAGAGTTTTCCTGCTGCTGATCATATTTATCGGGGGAATAATGATGACGCTGTTGTTGCTGTTCACTTTGTGATGTTATATAGATAGTGGTGCTATCATTGGCTTCATCATAGGTTGTCTCAACTTTTGAGGCAGTGGTTACCACGACCACATCATTGGCAAGTATGGAGGAAGATGAAGAGGATGATGTCGACGAAGTTGATTCAACGGAATGTTTATCCCTAGAAGTGTTTTGTGATGCAGATGATGAAATTAATAAATTTTCTAAACTACGTTTGGGAGCCTCTAAAACATCACGCAACCATTCTGGTTCATCGTCATCAGGCTTTGTAGCAGTAGCTGCTGTTTCATTTTGAACTGTTGTTGCAGTTTTTGTTACAGTTGTAGTTGTGGTATTTGTTTCCTGTTTTTCCTCTACTAATGCCGAAGAAGGATGTGCTAGTAAATGTTGAATTAATACATACAGAAGTGGCGCCAAAACCAACAATATCTACATCTTCAATATCATCATCATCCTCGTTGTCGTTATCGTCATCATCAACATCATTATCGTCATCATCTTTGTCAGCTAGTGATGAAACTGAAGTTGTTTGTATATTTATAACAGAATTGTTGATAATATGATGCTGCTGCTGTTGTTGTTGTTGCTTTTGGTTTATTGAAATGTTTTCTTGTTTATCATTGTATATGAGTTCCTCTAAATTATTTGTGTCTTTTTCCGATTCCGGTTGTATTTCCTTCTCAATCTGTTCTATTTCTTTTTGTTGTTGTTGTTGCTCCTGTTGTTTGTGACTTTCAGCTGGTGGCGATGGTGTTTGTGGCGTTACTTCCTCTATGAGATTCTTAATGCTAGTGGGTGATTTAGCGGTGGCTACTACCGCTGCAACGGCAACCCCAACTGTGGGTGCTGCTGATAGTATTTGTTCAACTTCTTTGGCTTGTTCGTCAGATAAAAGTGATTGTTGTCTGGAAAAACAGAATAATATAAGAGAGATATGGAGACAAATTGTTAGTAATTTATTTATTATTGAATAGATATAGAGCTTATTATCTATAGAGAGATTGAGTAAATAAAGGAAAAACTTAGTTGTTTTCTTTAAACTTTAGTTTAAAGTTTGATTGTTAATTTTCCTTATGAATCGTAAATATGTTTATGGGTGCAAAATAATTGAAATGGAATTAATAGTTAGGTTATGGTTGTTAGATGTTTTGTAAACATATTACAGCCAATAGAATTGTCTATAGACCAGGCCATTGGCAAGTCAATAAGATAACCCATAGATTAGTCAATAAACTTTTCCATAGACTATTCATTAGACTATTTTATGATCTAGTCAATAGACTAATTAGATTAGTTAATAGAGTAGTTCCTAGACTAGTCCATAGAAGAGTCAGTTGACTAATAGATAAGGCACTAGACAATAGATTAGTTAATAGTCAATAATCGAAAGAATAGTTCATAGTCTAGTCAATAGTCAAATCCATAGCCTAGACAATAGACCAGTCTATAGTCTAAAGGACCAATTGACTAGTCTATGGACTAGTCTATTAACTAGTCCAATAGACCAGTTCATAGACTATTCCATAGACTAGTCAATAGATCAGTTCATAGGACTAATCAGTAGACCTCTCCACAGATTAGTCCATATTGTCAACATTCAAGTCCATAACACAGTCAATAGACCAGTCCATAGACGACTCTATAGACCAGTTCATAGACCTGTTCATTGACTACTCTATAGAGCAGTCCATAGGACTAGTCAACATATTAGTGCATGAATTAATCAATATATTAACCCATAGACTAGACAATAAACCAGTTCATAGATTACTCCCAAGATCTGTCTATAGACTAGACTATAGACTAGTCCATAGACGAGTCAATAGCCTAGTAAATAGACTAGTTCTTAGATTAGTCCATAGACGAACCAATAGACCAGTCCATAGACTACTCTATAGACTAGACAAAAGACAAATCAGTAGACTAATCTACTTACTATTCAATAGACTAGTCATTAGACTAGTTCATAGTCTAGTCAATAGACTAGTCGATAGACAAGTCCATACACAGGACAGTAGCCTAGAATATAGACTAGTCTATAGTCTAATCAATAGACTAGTAAACAGTATAGACTACTCAATTGACTTGTCCATAGGCAAGATGCTCTTTGTAGAGAAACAAACTAAAGCCTAGGTGGGAATCAAAGAAAACTTTTCTTAAATAATGATTAATTATTAGTTACAAATTAAAACTAAAAAAAGAACATAGAAACCGCCACCAAATTATTTCAAATTAAATTAAAAACAATAATTTAAACAAACCTTATTTTGCTTTCCAAAATTCTACATGAAAATCAAATAGACAACAACACAACAGTAATAAATAAAGTTGATCAACAAATAATAATAAACAGCAGCAGCAACAATAACAAAAATACGATGCAGGATAATAAAAAGAGAGCGACAAAGATCACGTTCAAATGGCAGGAAACAAAATACAAACAAACAATGCATTTGATTTTTGTTTTTTTTTTATTAATTTTCAGCACGCATACCAATATACCAAAAGTAAAATGGTGTTGGTAAGAGGTTAAAAAAATGGACGCGTTTAAAAAAAAAACAATATTGTTGCAAAATAAAATGAAGTAAACAAAAATAAATTGCAAGACAAATACAATACACACAGGCAAATAATAAACAAAAATACAGCACACACACACACGTACAAACAGCAAAAGATAGAGAGTGTGTGTGTGAGAGAGAGACAAACACGTACATTTATCAAGTAGGCAAGCAAATTTTTAGCATGAAAATAATAATAAAAAAAGAAAAGAAAAATGTTATAATTAATTTTAATAAATAAAAAAAATAAAATATTAATAAATTATAATTTACGTAATAAATACATGCAACAATTAAAAAAATATATAAAAAATTAATATAAAGCAATAAATTATCTAAGTAAAGCAATATAAATTAAAAAATGCACAAATAAATAAAATTTATTGATTCAAATTAAAGAAAAAAAAAAGATTAAAATTTATGACATTAGTTGTGTTTTGTTGCTAACGTTCAAAGGCAATTTCATATAAATTTAAAATTTATAAACGTTAGGAGTTAACGTGTAAAATTATACAAGTTAATTTTAACGCCGATAAAAGTGCTACCAATTCAAAAATAAAAATACAAATATTAATGTGTTTATGTCAAACAATAAAAAAATATTTTAAAATAAAATTTAAATCAAAAAAAAATATCAAATAAAAAAACCTTTTTTAAGAAAATGTAAATAATTTCAAGATTTAGCAGATTTCTTCTGTGGAGTGATGCCAAGTCAGGTAATGTTCGTTTTGTTGCT